CTCCCAGTTTCCCTCAGACCCAGCCTTGGACATTTAGTCACAACAGCAGAAAAGTAGTTGACCATCTAGGTGGTTAATGTCAGGATTAAGGGGCAGGTCTGTGTCACCCAAACATCTTCCTGTGGGGATGGCTTGAAGTCTGCTAAAGCCTATTAAAACAGGCGTAATGGAGGCCTTAAGAAGAGTGGTCATAAAGTAGCGACACCCTACCCCACTTCAAAATGTAAACGTGGGTTTATTTAATGCCTTTTATCTGTCACAAAGTACCGCCGCCTCCCCAGGGTCCCCTCCCCCTAGAAAACAAGATGGCAGCATAAGGCACGTGCACTGTCCACATGACGTCAGGTTAGGTCCTTAAAAACAAAGATAAGCAACCGTCTTCCCATCAGCCCCGAATCGCCTCCCTCACCAATTGTTCAAGGAATGATTGTCCCCCCAAAGCACAACTTGGAGCCGAGAGCGCTTCAGTTAGAACTGCACGGCTCCGCATGCCAGTTTAGAAAACCAAGCCCAGCCAACGACTAAGAAAACCGACAACACAGGCACGAGAGCGTAATACCGGAGTAGTGAGATCAGTCCATAAATTAAAAAGGAAAAGTAAAACCCAAGCCCGTCCCCCTCCTCGCCGCCAGCCCTCCCCCAAATCAGCAATAAGTCGTTTTGTTCCGTTGAGTCTTGTGGAAAAGCCCGGACTCCCAGCCAGCCCTTTCCTCCGAAGTTAAATATCCCAAAGCCCCTGCCGGGCACTCTGCGTCTCAGGACCCACGTGGACCGCAAGGACGGCTTCTGAGATGGTCGCCAGGCACGTCCCCTCGGCCGCGGGGCCCGCGCCCGGGGTCCGGCGTCTGGCGAGGAGGCGGGGGAGGCGAGGGCCCCGGGTGGGTGGGAGGCACCCGGGGTGGCAGGTGGCGAGGCCGGGGGTCCTGCTATAGATACTCCAGCTCCAGGGCGTGCCGCAGCGCCTCCAGGTCGGCGTGGCAGGATATCCTCCAGAAGGGCATGTTGTGCTGGAACAGAAGGAACACAGGACGCCAGCCGCTGGGTTACGGCCCTGCCCGGAGCCTCCCGCCGGCCACCCCCTCCCTGTGCCCACAGCTGGAGCCCGATGAGAAGTCCGCCCGTGTCATCGTGGCCCGTGGCTGTCTCCCGAGCCAGGAGGCAGACCCCCTGTCTGGCCAGGGCCCACCGGTCCGGCCACAGTCTCTGTTCCCCTCGAGGCCTGTACTGCCCGGGACAGTGATGCTCTGCCCTCCCCCGGGACCCGCGTGGCCTTCGGCGGTGCGCTGACCCGGAATGAAGTCACGCAGTGACAAAGCCGTCCTTCTTAGAACACTGGCCTCGATCCTGCTACTTCACGATCAGAGTCTCCACCGGGTGCTCCTGCGACTTTCACCCCTCCCTGACATGTGCTAATCTCCCTCTAAACTGACCGAGCGGGTCCCAGCGAGACCGCCTGTGATACCCAGGCTTTTAAATAATAGTCTCTTAGGGGCCCCCCGGGGGGCTCAGTCAGTTAAGCGTCCAACGTCGGTGCAGGTCATGATCTCACAGTTCATGGGTTCAAGCCCCGCGTCGGGCTCTGTGCTGACAGCTCAGAGCCTGGAGCCTGCTTTGGATTCTCTCTCTCTCTCTGCCCCTCCCCTGCTCGCACTCTCTCTCTGTCTCTCCAAAATGAATAAACGTTAAAACAAAATCAAATAATAGTCTCTTAAATCTACCGTTGCGGGATCAGACCCTGGGCTAGTGCTCTGTGTTTACTGCTCCCTGAAGCCGCCCAAGCCAACAAAAAACCTGGAGGCAAAAACACAAGCACCTTTCGCAAGTGGGGGACGAGAAAGAAAAAAAATGGATTTAACCGAAGTTCAACCACTGGCAAGCCAGAACTAATTAGCATCATAATCACCGTCATCACAGAATCATTAACATCTGTCCCGTGCCAGGCACCGTGCTGAACGTGTCACACGCATCACCTCCTTGAACCAGGTCACTGATCTCCGAGAGAGGCAACCTGTCTTGTGTTACAGATGAGGAGACTGAGCCACAGAGATGTTATGTCAGGCTCGGAGGAGAAGGCCGGGTACGTTTTTATCGCTGGACAATTTAATCATTGGCTAAAATTGTTGCCTGCCCAACGCCCCTCTCCTTTCTTGCTTCCGGAACCCCGGATTTGGCAGCACTGTGCCCAGGCCTAGGGGATGAGTTATGATTTCTAATCAAGCTGTGGCAACGCCAGGCCTTGTTTGCCAGTGATGTGTCCTGTATCCCTCCTGACTTGTGACCCACTGAAAGCCCAGGAGGAAGGGGCGAGGGGCTTCTGGGAAAGGTTTTCCTACAGGATTAGAGGGCGGCACTGGAGAAGAGACTTTCCCTCCTTACTTTCCCATCCGATTTAGATGGTGTCATGTTAGCGTGTGATGTCTGGAGCTGTGGCAGCCATTTTGAGATCACGAGGCAACAAATCAGAAACGAAAAAAGCCAAAGATGGTTAGAAAGGCAGAGCAAGATGATAGATAGGGATGCTTGGCGAAAAACAAGCTGGGGTACATCTACTTCTAAGGTTGTTAGGTGAGCAAGTGTTTAGCTCGTCATTACATGGGCTTTCTGCTACCGGCAGCTAAGAGATTCTGAGCGTCCTCCAGACAGCCATTGGCCTTAAATTATTTACAAAGTGAACAGATGGTGCTTGATGAACATTTGGATGCCCGGAGTCCTGCCCTCTGAGATTCTACATCCACAGGCTAGAAACTATACAGGCATCCTGTTGGGTCCTGGAACCCATCAAATCCTTCCCTGCCTCTGGGGACTCTGCACGTATCACTCTGCGAATTCTTTATGTCATTGTTGATCTTTACCTTTCTCGACTGTGGCAGGCGGAATAACAGCCCCCCAAAGATGTCCATCCAGGTCCCAATCCCCAGAACCCGTGGATATGTGACCTCACACGGCAAACGGGACTTTGCAGATGTGATTAAGTGAAAGATCTTGAGACGGGGAGAGCATCCCGAAGGCGGGGCCTCTGATTGTCCACTGCTGTGCCCTCCCTGGAGCCTCCTGCAGGGGTGGTGCACGCACGCACAGGGTTCTCGCTGGAGCCACAGATAAGAAATCCAGAGGCACGAAATGACCAAGATGGTTTTGTCTTGTGAGCACGGTGATGGAGATAGAGCAGGGAGGCAGGGCAGAGAGCAGCTGGGGGAGGACATCTATTCTGATAGCTGGAAATAGAGCAGGAAAGGCCTCTCTAGGGAGTGACAGTTAAGCAGGCCCCTGGGGGCGAGAAGGACGTGCAAACCTGTGTGTTTGGGTAGTCGAGGCAGAAGACAAAGCCAGTGCAAAGGCCCTGAGGTGAGTTGGGGCTTGGAATGTCACGTCCACTACTGCATTGCGTGGCTCCTGGCACATAGTAGGTGCTCAAGAAACACACACAGAAGGAGTGAAGAGGAGGGAGGGGGGAAGTGGCAAGGTGAGTTTCTCTAAGTCCTCAGTGAACACATCCTTTTCTCTTTCGCTCAAAGGAAGCAGAACACCACCCATCACGGGCAGCAGATGCCATTTCTTTAATGCCTTCCTGTTGCCCCAGCTCCCCGACCCCCTCCTCACCTCAGCCAAACCTTCCCTTCTCTGCAAAGATGGATTTTGGTTCCTGCCCGGCCAATCCTGTCTCCCCTTAAAGAGTGTAATTCATTTTTCTGGGACGAAATGAGCAGAGGTGGAAGAGAACGTCTCGGCCACCTCGATCCCAGCCCTAGAGCGCAGGTGGATTTATCACTCGTGGAGAGGTGGAGACAGATGACCCACTAAAATGGAGATATTAACAACCCTGTCAGCCCGAACAGTCACAGCCCCTTGTCCGGTGGCCGTATTTCACGCTGCTCGGGTGTCCGGCAGCCTGGGCTAATGACTCCCATCCATCAGGCCGGGAGAGTGGCTGGTGCACAGCGTTGCTCGCTAACGGGCTGGGGCTGCTGCTTTAGACACTGGCGGAGGTTTTCGGGGGGAGCTCAGTATACAGCGGTGTGTGTGCCCTCTCACTCTTGTGTGACCAGCTGGGGGGTGGGGAGTGCTCGAAACTCCTAGGCCCACCCCCTTCCCGCTTGGCATCTGGAGCAAAACACACATCCGCTGGCGTGTACAGCTGTGTGACCTTAGGTGCGTTCATTAACCTCTCTGGGTCTCAGATACGTCCTCTGTAAACTGAAGCCAACGATACCCACTTTGCAGGGAGGGTTGAGGATTAAGTAAAACGATGAGGTCAGTAATCAGGAGGAGTGGTTAAGGGCACGGGGTTAGGCCAGGCGCCCCGAGGTGCCGGTCACAGCCCTGCCACAGGCCCGTGGCGACGGAGACTGCCAGCGGCCTCCATCATCCGTTCCCCCCCTTCTCTCGCAGAAGCGGCCTCCTTTTTTCTTAGCGAGGGACAGGGTGGCTGAGAACAAAGGCTGCATCTCCCAGCGGGCTGCGGGGCCAGGTGGGATCACGTGACTCAGATCTGGCCAATGGGACGTGAGCAGCGTGGGGTTCCTCCCCCTCTTCCTCCCCGGTCGGTCGCCGCAGTGTGGACGTGGGCGGTGGCAAGAGCAGCACCGGAAATGGCAGAGCAACAACACGGAAGGAGCCCGGGTCCCGGAAGCCTGTGGATGTTTTTACGTGACCGAGGGAGCGGCCTCTCTACTGTGTACCCTGCTGCCGGCCATCTCCGGCCACCCCAGCCCCGCTCCAGGCACCGGCCCTGCTGAGATGCTCCCGCCCAGTCCCTGCTGGGGGCCCCCCCTCCCCCTCCTCCTCCGCAGGTCGCAGCAAAGTGCTTCTCCCATGGGCTCGGAGCAAGCAAACGAGAGATTTGGGTGAGTTTTCACAATTATGTGCAAATGAGCATTCGTATTCTCTCTCTCTCCCCTGGCTCCCCCGGAGAGAGAAGCTCTCCTGAATTTCTAAAGGTTGTGTTATCTTTCCTCCCCCACCCCACTGCCGTGTGCAGAATACTAACAGAGCTTCGGGCTGGTGAGAACTCACTATGCATGGTTCCTCTGCTCAGCCCTGGGTGCAGATTCCCAGCAGCTGTCCCAGATAAGGAAAGGCAGCTCAGAGAGGGGGCGTCATCTGCCGAAGGCCACACAGCCGAAACCGGCAGAGCTGGGATTTAGGGTAGAATATGCACTCCCCGTCACAATCTTTCTGTGGGAGCAGGGCTGGCGGGAGGGTGAGGCCAGGGAGGTGCCTGGCCCAGCCCAGGAAGGTGAGCCCAGACTAGCTGTTCTCAAAGGAGGAAAAGCCTGCCCTCTAGGGGTCAGTGCGGAAGTTTCCGGAGGTGTGAATTTTGACCCCCCCTAATGGTCGGGGGGCACGGCGGGGGCGGGGGGCGGGGGCGCACGTGTCCGACCCCCTTTCACACACCTTGGACCTGACTTTGGAGATTTTCGAATGTGCTATCAGATATTCAAGCAAGGAGAAACCCGTACTTAATCACTGGACCCCACGTTTTACAGGTCACATATAAACACAGAGTCGCTTGCGCATGCTCTCAAGCAAACCTGAATTTCCAGAAGTGCAATGGGTACATCAAGGGAAACCTGTATTTTGTTCTATTCGGAATCTTTCCATGAGTTAGTTGCTCAGCAGTTTGGAGAAAGCACGTTAGGACAGCAGCGCCCGACCTGGTTGGTGAACGGTCGAGACTGCACCCCTGTGTCCCTCTGCGTTTGCCGGGTCGCACCCACAGCCACGGCACTTATGGGCACGAGCATTGGGATTGTGTGCCCGAACATTTACATACCGAAGCACACGGTAAAGTGAGCACATAATAACTTGCCCTTTATTTCTGTCCGATGACATCGGACCTTGGCCTTTTGGACACTATGGTTGTATCGTCCATTAGCATTTCATTTCTAGAGAGAAAGGGCTCATTTCAGAACCTTTACTGCTTACTCTGTCCTAACAAACCCTCTCTGCTTGTGAGAAGGCGGGAAAGTGTCAGGACCTCCACGGACGGCCCTGTCGTCCTCTGGGTGACGGCCGGATGGCAGGCAAGGGGTGCCAGGGACCACAGGCCTAAGCTGGTTCTCCAGTCCAACTGTGGTAGAAGCAAAACTTTATTTTGATCATGGTCACATGCTTAGGGCAGACTTCTGAGGTCTGAGCTTGGAGAGAGGGCGCTAGAGACACTGACAGCGGATCGTCTCATCACACAGACCATGCTCTTGACCTGGCACAGCGTTTCTGGAACAGCACTCACGCGTGGTAATTCATGTGATTCATGCTACTGCTTTGGTCATTTCTTGTGTATCACCTCTATCACGATTGATTAGTTACTTAACATTTTTCTCTCTAAATGAATTCATTTTTTGGGGCGCCTGGGTGGCGCAGTCGGTTGGGCGTCCGACTTCAGCCAGGTCACGATCTCCCAGTCCGGGAGTTCGAGCCCCGCGTCAGGCTCTGGGCTGATGGCTCGGGGCCTGGAGCCTGTTTCCGATTCTGTGTCTCCCTCTCTCTGCCCCTCCCCCGTTCATGCTCTGTCTCTCTCTGTCCCAGAAATAAATAAACGTTGAAAAAAAAAAATAAAAAAAAAAAAATTTATTTATCGGGGGCGGGGGGGGGGCATGGGAGCAGAGGAGGGGCAGAGAGAGGAAGAGAGAGAGAATGCCAAGCGGGCTCTGCACTGTCAGCGCACAGCCCGCCGTGGGACTCCATCCCATGTGAGATCATGACCTGAGCTGGAATCAAGTCAGATGCCCAACTGACTGAGCCACCCGGGCACCTCTAAATCAATCCATTTTTAAAGTTAAAGAAATCTGCTTTAAAAAGGAGAGCTCAGGGGGCGCCTGGGTGGCTCAGTTGGTTTGGCTCAGGGCTGCCTTCCCTCTGAGATCTACTTGGCTCACTAGCTCTCCTCCTCTGGTCTTTGCTCTCCTGTCACCCCCAGCACGAGGCCTACCTTGACCACACTTGCAACCTGTCCCGCCCCCACGGTCCCTTCGCAGTCCCTGCTTTAGTCTTCTCCAAAGCTCTGGCCACCGCCTCACACACATGCCTGCCCCCAGGCTGTGAGCTGAGGGAGGGGTGAGAGCCTGCCCCTTCTGCTCACTGCAGGCTCCCCAGCGACCGTGACAGCTGCGAGCACACGGTGGCGGTGGCGGTGGCGGAGGCCCAGCTAATGGAGCTTACGCACTAGCTGGAGGGTCCGCCGGCAAGCCACCCCTCACACAGGCCCGGAGGAACGAATATGGACGGGGCGCGGAGGTAGTTGCTGGACGGACCAGAGAGGCAGCTGATCAGGGAATTCTTCCCTCACAAGTGCGGCTGAAGCCTGAGGCCTAAAGGTGGAGTCCGGAGGGGCTGGGAAGGGGAGGAACCTTGCAGGGGGTGGGGGGGGGTGGGGGGGGCTTCTAGCTCCGCCCCTGGCCCCCTTTCCTGGGACCCCAGGGGCCCTCCCTCTCTTTTCAGGCTTTGTCCACTAAGACCCCGAACGTTTCTGCATTTCCTTGGAATCCGTCGCTGGGGAGGGAAGGGGGAAGCCAGGTCCTCCCAATTAAGCTCTGTGACATTAACGATCCACTTCCCAGGCCTCTGGGTGGGGGGCGGCAGGCTCTCTGGGATGCTGTTGACAGGTCCAGACCCAGGGCTTTGGCAGCTGTTTCTTTTCCAACAGCAGGGCTGCGGCCACCAGAGCCCCCTGCCCCTCTCCTCATGGGCCCGAGATCACAAATGCAGGATTTTCTTTTTCATTAGCTTAATGCTGTCTTTATTAACTGGGAAGGGTTCCTGGAACATATGATCAGTGAGTATGAAGTAAAGCGCACACACGTGCACCAGCCCCCCACCAGCCTGCCCTGACAGAGCGTCTCCGGGCTCCCGAGCAGTTGTCCCAGAAAAAATCCAGGGCTACCAGGGGCGGCAGCCAAAGGCACCGAGGGGGATTTGCAGAAGGAAATTACTCAGGATGCTTCTGCGATTGCAAACGGGAGGGGGCCTGGGAGCTAAGAGCCTGGGAAGGAGGGGACCCAGCCTTTGCCTGGGAAGTGGAGGAAATCTGGGTAAAGGGCCCCGCGGCCCGAGAGGCGGACGAGGTACCTTTTTTGCCCCCTGCTCCTCTTCGACGCCGTCACCGATCACGATGTAGACGGCTTTTCTGCCGAATCTCTGCATTATCCTCTCGAAACAGCTCTCCTTCCCTGCACGCACAGGAAGGAAAGAGAGAGAAGACGCTGGGGACCCAGGACTGTGGCGACTCGTAATCGCTAAGGAAGTGCTCGCGGCCGCGGCACAGACTTGGGCCTCAGGGCGACTCCCCTGCCCGTGTTTTCCTTGCTACCCGGTGAGGACCACCTCTTTGTAGTTTCCTTCCGCCCAGCTGCGTGGGCAGCTGGACTCGGATCTTAGCTCGTCCTGATGTGTGAGCAAGTGCAGGAACAGTAATGAGAACAGCGCGACTAAAAGTAGCCGCACTCACTGGATTCTCTGTATCCCAAGCACTCTGCTGAGTGCTTCCTACAGCAGGGTTTCCCAGCCTCGGCGGTGCTGGCACGTGGGGCTGGGTAACTCCGTGCTGGGGGTGCTGCCCCGATCGCTGTGATGTGCAGCAGCTTCCGCGGTAGCACCTCCTGCCGTTGGAAAACGAAAAATGTCTCCAGATGTTGCCAAATATCTCCTGGGAGGCAAACTGCTTTCCCCCCGCTCCGTTTGGGAACCACTGACTTAACATTATTCATTTACTATGATGGCAATCCTTATGAAATTGCAATCAATGGAATTCCCGTTTTAGAGATAAAGAAACTGAGGCCCGTGAAGTGCCTTGAAAAGGACTGGAGGAGTAGTGCCAGAAGAGAGAAGTTGAGGCACAGAGAGGTCAAGTCACTTGCCTGGGACACCCAGCTAGCGAGCACAGAGTCCGGGATTTGAACCCAGGCTGCCTGCCCCAGTTGCTTGAGCTCCGAGCCGCTCTCTTATCCTGCTCTAGGTAGGACTCAGCTCTGCGGCAGACCGTTAATCCCTCTGTGCCTGCTTTCTCCTCTGTGGGAGCAGAGGCCGGGTGCAGAGCTGTGAATCACAACTGTGAGTTAACAGAATGACGCTACCACCGTGCAGTGCCTCTCCCTACAGCAGGTGGAGCCCATTCTCCACCCCGCTGATACTGGGTCGGCCACGTGACTTGCTCTGACCAACACCGGAATGCTCGGGACCTGCCACGGGAAATGCGTGTGGGTGGTGTGGCTTGGCCCCCTTCACGTCTGCCATCGGTCATGAGACGAACGTACCCCTGATGGCCGCTGGTCCCACAGTGAGGGCGCATATGGAACAGAGCGGAACCCGGAGGCAAGCTTAGCGGGGCCACAGCAGATGCCCCAGACCCATGAGTGAGAAATCCACACTGCGAGCCACTGAGCGTTTGTTATGCGGCATCATCAGAGCAGAAACCTGACCGTTGGGAAAAATTAATGCTTTTCAAGTTAAAACAGGGAGCTGGAGGCCATATTTCTGTGCGGTCTCCACCTGGATCACCCTCAGCTCGTTGACCTTCAGGCTCCCCAGGTGGGAAGCAAGTGGCTAAAACATTTCCCCGATGGGATTTAATGCCTCTGACGTGGAAACAGAGTCGATGGGCGGGACAAACATTTTAGACGCGTCTGGGTTACAGATTCCTTTCGTGCAAAATCTACAGGAAAAAGATGCTGTTACATGAAACCTGGCTTTAAAACTTCTATCACAGGATGGAATGGAGTGTCTGATGTGCTCATGCTCATCTGGCCACTGGCTGGATCGTTTGTTCACGAATCGTCTCTTGACATGCGCTACCCTGGACCAGAATTTCTCGAATACTCCAGAACTACCATTAATAGTTAGGACCAAATCTGGGAATCACTGTTAGGTAATCTTGAAAAAAATCAACTCACACTTCTATTTTTACTTAAACGAATTCATTTAAATACAGAATGGAATCACTACACACACACACACACACACACACACACACACACACTTTTTTTTTTTACAGTTGAATTGTGCCTTTAGCATTCTTTTTTTGAAGTTGATATTTCTTTTATCATTTAAAAATACATAGTATATATATATTTTTAAATTAAAATCCATGTTAGTTAACATATAGTGTAATAATGGTTTCAGGAGTAGAATGTAGCGATTCATCACTTACATATAACACCCAGTGCTCATCCCAGCAAGCGCCCTCCTTAATGCCCTTCACCCGTTTAGCCCATCTCCCCACCTAGCTCCCTTCCAGAAACCCTCAGTTTGTTCTCTGTATTTAAGAATGGCTTTCAGTTTGCCTCCCTCTCTGCTTTTTATCTTATTTTTCCTTCCCTTCCCCTATTTTTTGTTTCTTAAATTCCACATATGAGTGAAATCATATGGTATTTGTCTTTCTCTGACTTATTTCGCTTAGCATAATACATTCTAGTTCCACCTACATAGTTGCAAATGGCAAGATTTCATTCTTTTTGATAGCTGAGTAATATTCCAGTGTGTGTGTGTGTGTGTGTGTGTGTGTGTGTATACACATACACTCCATTATATATATACACACCACGTCTTCTTTATCCATTCACCAGTCAATGGACATTGACTTTGGCTATTGTCGATACTGGTGCTATAAACATTGGGGTGCACGTGCCCCTCTGAATCAGCGTTTTTGTGTCCTTTGGATAAATACCTAGTAGTGCAACTGCTGGGCCATAGGGTAGTTCTGTTTTTAATTTTTTCAGCTGCATTATTTTGCAACAGCCAAAACATGGAAGCAACCAAGCGTCCGTTGACAGGTGAGTAGATACAAAAAATGTCATATGTACATGGAACAGATTACGGACTATTAGCCTTAAGAAGGAAGGGAATCTGACACCTACCACCACATGGAAATGACCCTTGAGGACAGTATGCTAAGTGAAACAAGCCAATCACAAAAAGACAAGTAGTATATGATTCCACTTATACGAGGAGTCACATTCGCAGAGACAGAAAGTAGAAGGGTGGTCGCCAGGGGCTGAGAGCAGGGAGGAGTGGGGAGTTGCTGTTTAATGTAGATCAGGCTTTGGTTCTACAAGATGGAAAGGGTTCTGGAGATGGATGGTGGGGACAGTTACACCACAATGTGAATGTGGTTAATACCACTGAACTGCACCCTTAAAAATGGTTAAGATAGTAAATGGTATGTGTATTTTCCCATAATTAAAGATAAAAATCTTTAATTTAATTTTATTTTTTTTAATGTTTATTTAGTTTTGAGAGAGAGAGCGAGAGCGAGCATGAGCAGGGGAGGGGCAGAGAGAGGGAGACACAGAATCCAAAGCAGGATCCAGGCTCTGAGCGGTCAGCACAAAGCCTGACGCGGGGCTCGAACCCACGGACCGTGAGATCACAACCTGAACCGAAGTCGGACGCTTAACCGCCTGAGCGACCCTGGCACCTCATGATAAAAAATATCTTAAAACGAGGTTCTAACTAAGCCGCAAAGGCACACGAGTAGACTGTGCAGAAAGAAAATGACAGGCTCACCAGGTCCCGTTGCAGAGGCTCTAATGGCCACCCGGAGCCTGACGTCCAGGATTTTAAAATCGAAAGGCACTTTTCCGTAACGTTCAGATCTAGAACTCCACTAAAGGCAAAAACTGCTCTGGGAAAATTGCTTCCAAAGTATACTATAATTTTTTTTTTCCATAGAAGAAAACAAGGGTGGCTCAGTCAGTTAAGAGTCGCTGACTTGATTTCAGCTCTGGTCATAATCTCATGGTTCATGAGATTAAGCTCCATGTGGGGCTCTTTGCTGTGACTCACACACATGTGCGCGCGCTCTCTCTCAAAATAAATAAACTTAAAAAAAAGTCTTAACTAACTAGATTTATTTTGTATTATTATACAGTTTTAGGTCATGGAAGAAGACGCCCCCTCCCCAAGAAAACCAATATGACTTGCCCTGATGATAAATGATGCTGTTAATTTCTAGTTATTAAATTCTTTTATCTGATGGAAGCTCTAAGCCTAAGGCTTGTTCTCTGTTAATAATGGAGATTTTCAAGTCTTTTATTTTTATTTTACTTAAATTAAAAAAAGATTTTTTTTAAGGTTTATTTTTGAGAGAGAGAGAGAGAGCGAGTGCATGTGCGTGCTAGTGGGGGAGGGGCAGAGAGAGAGGGAGACAGAATCCGAAGCAGGCTCCAGGCTCTGAGCCGTCATCACAGAGTCTGACGTGGGGCTCGAACTCAAGGACCATGAGATCATGAGCTGAACCAGAGGAGGATGCCCAACCGAGTGAGCCACCCAGGTGCCCCAGAGATTTTCAAGTATTAAGAGAGGTGTTAAAGTAGGAGAACACTAAATTGAGACTCTCTCCTGAAAAGAGAATTAAAAAAAACCCAAACATTTTCTCTCTGTGTGGTTCAAGGTTAGATTTAGGATTATTTGGTGACTTGTAACCACCTAGAATTAAAATCACAGCCTGTGCCATGCTGTGGTGAGGACTGTTTCCCTCTTCTTAGTAACATAATTCCATGACTTTTACCTGGGGTCATGGCGCTTAGCTATGGACTACATTTCCCAGCCTCCCTTGCAAACAGTCGTGGCCATGTGACTACGCTGGGGCCAACAGGAGGTGAGTAGAAGTACAGTGTATCTCTTTCCTTCCTCTCTGCACCCTCCCCCCCCCCCCCCCAAGCCAGAATGACAATGTGATAGGATTCTGATTTGACCACACACATGAGAATAAACCCACGGGGGATGGTGGAAAAATAAGATGGGAACGACCTGGGATTCTGGGTGAGTTTCAGGACAGAGCTGCCCCACTAGACTGGATCACTCGTCTCTGGTCTGTTGACACGTGAGGGAGAAATACGCTTTGATTCTGAAGTCAGCCCGTGTATTGGGGGGTGTATTCGTTACAGCAGCTTTGCAGGTATCCTAACTAACACACACACCTTAGAATATGGTCCTAACCCACTCCTTTGGAGGCTGAGGTTGAAGCGCATGGTTTGTGGGATTGTTCTGGGGATCTGAGTCATGGCCCTGGACAAGGAAGTTCTTTAGCTTTCCTAATGCCATTTTCCTTAAGCCTTTCACACAAGGGATGGAGCACTAACCTCACCCACCCTCTGTGCATCACCCCGAGGTCTGGGTTCTCCCTACCTGTCTTGGTTGCACTGTAGATGTTCTCAATAGGAAACACGGAGCCCAGTCCATACAGCAGGACTTTGGCCAGGGCAGGAATTAGTTGAGTGGTGGTGACCAGCACGTTGACACAATTGGGCCTGAGGACAGAGAAAAAGACCGTGGGTCAGAACACCAAGGTAGAGCCAGGCCTGGTCACCCGGCAGCCTGAGCCTGGAGTCGGCAGACATTCTGGTGGGATTTGGGAGCTCGGGCTAAGTCACGTTCAGGTGAGAGTGGGGCCCAAAGATCTTTCAGCTGTTCCTCTCCTTTAAGCCTGAGGCTGCCTGGCACACTGAAACACGAGTGCGATACTTTTATTTAGAAAAACGTGTCGGGCGGGAGCCGCACTTGAGCAGCTGCAGCTGCCTATCGGTGATGTAGAGTAATGTGGACCAGGTGTAGGACAACAGGGAGTGGTGAGGGCTGGGGCGAACTGGGGAGCACCTACCAGTTCTGAGATTTTTACAGAATCCAGAAACTGGGAGCCATGGATTACTTTCCCATCTTGGGGCCAGAGTGCGTGTCAAACTCACGCATCAGCGGGATGGAGCCAGCGGCCATTTTGTGACCATTCGTGTGTGGTGTCGTGAGATTCTGGGATGCTATAGCACAGACGGCAATTTGTCCTCTGGCCCAGGTGGTCTTATTTAGGAGCAAGAGGCAACTTACTGGGAGGCCCAGAATGAAACTGGACGCTCCTTACCTCGTAAGTGCCAGATGATCTGCGGTCTACTAGAAGATGGTTTTTAGAGGGTGGGTGTTGTGGGCAAGAGTGGATGGGACAAGATGGACCTATGTACAAATGTTCGGGCTCTGCTGGACCCTGGTAAGTCTCTGTAGCTATCTGCTCAGCTACGGTACAAGGTGTCCCTGGTGTCTGATAATACCTCTGCTTTATCAAATGTCTGGAAAGCCTGCAAATGAGAATTTTGAGAGTCCAGTTCTCCCAAGTGTGGAAACGGAGGAGCCACCACCCTCAAATCGGGGAACGTTCAGGGGCGCAAAGGAAAAAGGGGGCTCCCACCTACCGGGAATTGATGAGGTTGAGCGCCTTTAGAGAGTGGGTCAGCCAGAGGTCGGTCAGAGCCTCCAGCTCGGCTCTGAGCTGTAGCCAAGTCTCTCTTTTGGGAGCTCCTATCAAGCCTATGGACAAGGGAAAAAAAGATGGGCTAGTTACTATTTTAGAAGTCTGGGCGGTAGTGGTTAGGGAAGGGGAGTGTAGCTACTGGTTCTCTGGGTTTCAAATCAGATGACACCCAAGGTCAACTTTAATCCAGTGATTTTAATCTTATTTTGGGATTGATGGGTCAATCAACCCATCTACTGATTGATCCATTCATCCACCCATCCGCCCTCCCACCCTTCCAGCCCTCCCTCTGCCCACCCGTCCATCCATCCATCCATCCATCCGTCCGTCCATCCATTCCTCTGTCCATCTGTCCACCCATCCCTCTGTCCATCCATCCGTCCGTCCATCCATCCATCCATCCATCTATCCCTCCATCCATCCATCCATCCCTCTGTCCATCCATCCATCTATCCATCCATCCATCCGTCCGTCCATCCATTCCTCTGTCCATCTGTCCACCCATCCCTCTGTCCATCCATCCATCCATCCATCCGTCCGTCCATCCATTCCTCTGTCCATCTGTCTACCCATCCCTCTGTCCATCCATCCGTCCATCCATCCATCCATCCATCCATCCCTTCATCCATCCATCCATCCATCCCTCTGTCCATCTATCCATCCATCCCTCTGTCCATCCATCCATCCATCCATCCATCCCTCTGTCCATCCATCC